TCGGATTACCCTGTTACCCGAACATTGCTACCCTCACCCTTCTAGAACCTTAATAGGATTACCCTGTTAGTTGAGCATTGATTCCCTCATCCCTGTAGAACCTCGATAGGATTACCCTGTTACTTGAGCATTGAGCATTGATTCCCTTGTCCATGTAGAACCTCGATAGGATTACCCTGTTACTTGAGCATTGACTCCCTTATCCCTGTACAACCTCAATAGGATTACCTTGCTACTAACATTACTCCCCCTTTCCTTTTCTGACCAGTGATCGGCCCCGTCCCGTCCTTCACAGTTATCCATTGGGTCTTTGCCAGCCGGGACGTTGCCTTCCAGAGGGAGGGGATAGTGTTACGGACTCAGCCAGGGTTCAATCCCTGGTCCGCGGGTTACCACCCACCAGGCTGCTGTGTTATTTTTTTTTGTTTCTGATCTTCAGTTCCTGACTGTTGGCGCCCGTTCTCGAATTCCTCCTTTGGCACTTTTGGATTTCGATACTTGGCGCCATCCGGCATTCTGCGGCCCAGACTCAGACCTTCGATTCTCAGTTCAGCCCTGAGGCAAATTGCACTTCAGCCCTTGGGACTGAACTTGAGTCTGGTACTTTAGACCGGACTCAAGCCCAGTATGGGCACTCAGTTTTCGGCCTCGGTGCTTGTGCTTCAGTGTGACTTGCTGCGACATTGTGTTCGGAATCCAAGATTGCGACTTTGCGACTTTGCCACTTCGTGTCTGCGTCCGTCGAGTCTTCTCGTGTCTGCGTCGAGTGGAGTGTGTGTGTGTGTGTGTGCTCTCACTCTCCCTCTCTCTATCCCAGCCTCGTTGCTCTGCCCCAGCCCCGTCACAGAAACTTCCATCGCCCGAAGCTCGGGCAGTTCCACTTGGAACCTCGTGTGCCATGCTACCGTGAGGTCTTTCCAGCTGATCTTCGTGTGCAGCTCGGAGATGACCACCTGGTGTGTAGCCAAGAGGTTGTCCAGCCATGCTTGACATGCGCCGCCCGACTGATGATACAGACAGGCATGCCGGTTGGCGTCAGTCACCTTGTACATGTCCAAACACACGACGAATTGCTTCCACCACGGAAGTGGATCGGTCTTCGATGCGTCACAGAAGACCAAAATATCATCCAACTTAGGTACGCGTTCAGGAGGCGCTGAGGCTGGACTTGCAGCCGCTGCACGAATCTCTTGTTCCAACAGCTGATTGCTAGCTTGTTGCTGCCTTGTCGTGTCCTTGACGACGCCCATGTCCACCTCTAATACGTTGACTCGATCCGCCAAGTTGGAGGGTCCGGCTGATGCGGCTGCAGCAGGCTGTTGTTCCAGCCTATGCACACGGTCGCGCAGGTCGGCAATTGTCTGAGCCTGATGCGTGACCAGCATGTCTAGCTGCATGAGCAGCATATCTAGGCCAAAATGAAAAAGATAAACAATCGAACTGAATTTTTTTTATTTTATTTTTTTGCAAGTTTGGGAAATTGCGAGGAATGAGCCTTCGCGGGCCCCTTATCAGACATGCACATGTTCTGGGCAAAGGCCCTCAGCAAGCCCTGTGCCCGCCCTAAGTGAAGGCGGGCCTGAATATTCACAAGAGGCCAAAATTTGACATTTTCCCATAAGTGGGTACTCAGGCAGTTACAGCACACCAGTTGGTTGCAAGGAAACGTGAGCCTCTTGGCTATTTTCAGAAGATGCATGCTGCGCCATACAGTTGGGCCTCAGGCACACACAATGCAAGGCAGATACATCACAAACCGGCCACGGGCCTGATAGACAGCAGCATGGTCGACGTACCTGCCCTGGGGGTCATTGTGAATGCAGCAAACAGGGAGTGAAGACTGGGCGTCCTCAACTGTAAATGGCCCACGCCCTCAACTGCAGAGCTGGGCCTGGGCGCAGGCACTGGGGCCCTACCAGAAGCTACTGGAAGCTTCTCGGCCAGGCCACAAGCAGCCAAACAGAGACTGCCACTTCCATATAGGAGTGAAGCAGCCAGGGACAGGCATTCTGGCCCACGCAGGCATTGCGGTCACATTGCTGCGTTGCTGCGCAAGTGGATGCATGCTGCTCTAGCGGGCTGGGGCGCATACGGGCGATTGGTGGTGAGTGGGGAGCTGCAGGGCAGCGGGGCACTAGCGGCCATAGACGGGCTGCAGGGCGCGTGTGCGGGTGATGGGCGACAGAGGGTCTTCGGGAGGAGGCGCTTAAGTGTGGGTGGTCAGTGAAGTGATGAGGGGAGACGAGATACGTACCTGGTGCATGAACGAGGTCGGATATGGTGTTGACGTCATGTACATTGGTCTTCAAAGTCGAAGTGAGCCTGTATCTTGAATGCGGCTGTAGGAGTGTAGGCTAGGTAGGAGTAGGAAGGGCGCTGGGCGGCATACAGTAGGAGCGACATTCAATACTGCGTTGGTGTGGCCTGAGGGCTTGAACATTAGCTCATGAGTTCATTGTTTCACTCTTATATGGATGGAATCTTGGCGCATTTATGCTTTCTGCTTGGTACATGACTACTTGGACATCTCTGTGATTTCGCAACTTGGGTTTCTGCATATCGTTCTCACTCAGCAATTTGATATCGGAGCTGGTTTGTGATCGCCTATCTGCCGCCGGCGATATTGTTACTTGGTGCGCTGACGATGCTTCTGTGCAGTGAGGATACATTGGCGCTGGCTTGTGAAAGCGGCACCCGGGTAGAGGGGTGAGCCGCTGGAAGGCTGTGGCGACAACGTGGGAGCTGTGGCGACAGCGGATGTATGTTTGATGATGAGAGCATGCTGATGTGGCATTTTGGCTGAGGTGGCACTGCATTGCGTTGTGGGCGGTACCGAAGCTACGACCGATCATCGAAATGCACTTCGGCTCAATTGGTGAGAAATTTGTGGTTGGGGGAAGCTATCTCCAGGTACGTTGTTCCCTTACCTTATCTACCCTCTCAATCTTTTCTTACCGTGAGGAAGTGAGTCCAACCTCGAGTGTCCTCTTTTCGTGAGGAGTGGTGAGCGCTCTACCTCGAGACACGACATTCTTCCCGGTGGCGGATCTGGCAGGAGAGGGCGATGCCTCTGAGGGGCCCTGGTCGAAGCACGGGTCACGGTCACCATAACAACCCATGGGAGTAGTACACACAGGCCATGCTGCTTTGTCCTTTGAAGGCCCTTTGCTGCGCTGATAGAAGGGGTGTGCGGACTGACCAGTCCTATGCAGACGCTTTCCAGTCCGTCTATAAATATTTCTGGCGCGGGTCTGAGCTGTGCACTGGCTGTGATCTTCGTGCTGTCTGCGACGTTAAATAACTGCCATTTGATCAGCCAGATCAGTCAGACGTAAGGCTGGTTGCACGCGAGGATAAATAAGGGCCAGTTCTGGCCATAAGCATACGCCTTGGGCACAGGGGTGGGCCATTAATGCACACCTTCGGCACTTCTGCTCGATGATGCCTACATGCACGTTGGATGCAGGGGAGGAAGATTCCAATTGAGACTCAACTGGCAAACACAACTATACCAATTGTGCAGACATCTGCTCACATAATTTATTTTTATTTTGATTAGTTGGTTGACTGACCGCTCACACCTTACAGACAGCCTAGACTAGGACTGTAATGTTCTACAATAGTCAGTTACCGCTTGAACGGTAGCCTAGGTTACTTGCTGAACATTATTTTATTTTTATTTATTTTTAGAACCCGTCAGACGCATGTTGCGGTGGGTTCTGGAGAGAACACTAGTGCAGACAACGTCTGCCTAGCCGATGAGTGGATCAGAAGGTGGTGAAGGTACAGCTGACGACAGAAGGCAAACACGGCGTGATGCACGTAGGATACCTTTAGTGTTCCAGGTTTTCCTATCGGGAGACGAAAGAAGGTTAAGGGCCAAAGCAAGGGCCCGTACTCTTGAGACTGCAAGGGAAGCAGCAGCACTTGTATAAAGGACGTTAGCAGCAGCAGCAGCTACCGCAGTAGCAATGGCTACCTCTGCGGCAGCAGCATCGGCGGCATCCTCGTCTGGTTAGTCACTCGGTGTGCCGCCCAATTCGACCAACAAACAGTCCATCTCCAGTACGTCAGGATCCAGAACCAGTCAGATAGCGGGCTCGCAGTTCAGCTCGCCGCCTCCACTCACCAAGGAGCAAAGTAGAGAAGATCCGCTTAAGGTTAGAAAAGGAACTTAAGGAGGCTACTGAAAGAGAAACTGAATAAGAAACAGAAGTGTCAGAATTGAGAGTAGAGAGGCAGACCAAGTTGCGTTAGAGGGATTAGATGACTTGACGCTTGACAACATCACAAAGATTCTCAAGGCGAGCATCCTGTCCATGCATGCTTACATGGACAGCAAACTGGACACTATCCAGGACACCCTAGACCAGATCCTGAACGCCATGCACAGGCCAGGTTTTAGGCCAGCAGTTTTGCCATCGCTGCCATTGTCGGAGATGACAGGCCCCTACCTTCCGCAATCTGGTACCACACCAAGTGGTACTTCAGCAGCAGCAGCACAGACTGCTGCTTCTACATCTTTTAGTCCAGCGGTTGGAGCTACACCACAACAGCTACCCATCCCACTAGCGGGACAGCAACAACCTTGGTAACCCAAAACCCCATTGAAACCACCCTCAACCTTCTCAGGGGATAAGAAGGATGAGACTCTCAACACTTGTTTGAGAACGGTGCCAGTGTGGGTGAGGGCCCATTGAAACCACCCTCAACCTTCTCAGGGGATAAGAAGGATGAGACTCTCAACACTTGTTTGAGAACGGTGTCAGTGTGGGTGAGGGCGAAGAGGACATTGGTGGAGGAGGAAGTGATAACAGCCGCATCCTACCTGGAGGGTTCAGCAACTCATTGGCTAAATGGATTAGTTGCCTCAAAGGGATTTGGCAAGAACATGGGTGATTGGGCTAAAGACCTATTCCCTAAAAAGCTTTATGGATTTGGTGGAAGTACGATGGCACAACCCACAGCAGGCACAAATTGCCACTGATGCACTGACCCAGCTTGAGACTAATAAGTACAAGTCCGTGCGCGAACTCACCTCTGCCATCAAGCGCCTGATTGTCGTCCCCGGGGTACGCTATGATCCGCGGGTCTTAATGACCCTGTTCTTGAGATGTCTTCCCACATACGTCAAGAACTTGTTAGCCAACGAGGCTCGGCTCGAGTATCTCACATTTGAGACCTTTAGCAAGGCGGCTCTAAATCTGAAGGCCACGCTAGGAGGTGCTCAACAACTCCATACGGACGGAAGAAAGAAGAAGAGTCCACAAGAGTGGAAGAAGAAGCGAAGTCGATTGATGATGGTTGATGTCGGCGGTACTCAAACTGAGATCGGCGACTTTTCAAACTTAGTGGATGGTTTAGAGTTTGACGGCGAGGATCGTGTTGAGGGTAGCAACCTTGCTGCATTAGTAAAGGTTAATGTAGGTGGCCGCAGCAAGGGCGGTCAACAGAGGAGTCAGGGGCAAACCCAGAAACTGAACAAGAGAGCAATTCGGATTAGAGCGGGTTTGGATCAAGGTGTGTGGCGGGATCGTTATATGCGGGGTGCTTGCATTAACTGCGACGAGGATGCCCATCAGCAGTTCAAATGCAAGAACGCAAAGGCTTCGCAGAAGATACCTCCCAAAGGTGGGGTTCCTTCTTCTTCCCAAGGTGGGGCCTCCACGAGTTCCAGCTCAAGAAACACATAGGGCCAGTAGAAGTTGTAGAGGCTTCTACTCGTGTTGAAGCGGGTCTGGGGCAAAATTCCTTGGACTTCAGCGGAGATGAGCACCGGGTACCCAGATCCGCACCCACTTGCACCCACCCCACCCACGAGGACATTGGGTCAGGTGCGGGTCTTGGTAAGGTGACCTAGGTGGGATGAGGGCGGGTCAAGGCCAGGCAGCCTGGGTGGGTGACAGGTGGGTCAACATTAGGCCTGGGTCACCCGAGTGGGTGGGTGACAGGTGGGTGAGTGCTAGGCCTGGGTCACCCGACCCACAGACCCAGGACAACCCATGAGGACCCCCCCCCTCAAATCCCTGCACGAAATGTCCACCCCTCTAAGAAAGTCGAAGGTGCACGCACGAAATGTCAAGTCCCGTCGTCGGCCTGCCTGGAAAAAAAAAAAAGGTCGAGGTCCTCCTGAAAAAAACAAGCAACAACCTTCTATCAAATTTTTCGCATGCTGCTCTTGCCTCTTGGCGGCTGCACCACGGCCCACGTTTGGAGAGTTACCGCTTTCAAATGGGGTGCTGAGTTTCACTCCCATTAAAACAACAAGGGGCGAACCTAACCACAACAGGTGGCAAGGTTCGCTCCCCACTTCTGAACTTATGGAGCACTTTGAATTTTGGCGCCGTCATCCAACGACGACACAACTTGTGCATGGTTCACCAGCAGGGAGGAGGTGGTGGGGCGGCGAGGAGGGGGGCAACGCACCGA